TTAGTATCATGAAATTCTCTCAAAATACAAAATATTATTGAACAAAAATATATTACATTGATTTTACTGAAAATAAAAAAAGTTACAATTCAGATGTTCGGTCACTTTTGACCACGAACAACACAAGTGTGACTCCCAGATGAACAATACCAGAGGATTAAATATATAATAAAAAAAAAGACAAATTTACTTGCATTATTGCTGTAAAATATAACACTCCCCATGTGTAATTAACATAGTAAAAGTGATATGGTAACAGCTGTTTTTGTAAACGCACACCGACATCTAAATGTTCATATTTCTGCTCATAACTTTATTCTGAATATTGTATATTTGAGATTTAAGACAGACAAGTGCCTAGTCGATAATCTATCTATCTCCTCAGTAAAACAAAAGAACAGGTAATCTGTATTTACGTTGAAAACGTTTATTTCCCTGTAAAAATGACAGTATAGTGATATTAATGTCAAACTATGGAAGTCACATACATGCTTTAATGGTTCTTTATGTATATGAAAGGGCTGCATCATGTGTCAGTATCACTCAAAACACCCACAGTACGAGCCGATCCTTTACTCAGACGCTCATAAAGAGAGAAACCAATCTATCATAACTCCATTTGCTTCTTTAAAATCTTTACTGTCATTTAAAACTGCAGCATTTGGGATCCCTATTAATGGTCACCTTGAATGAGAGACAGAGAGCGACAAGAAACAGAAGAAAAACACTGCTCTCAACAGGGGCACTGATAATGAGATTAAACCAAACGTCCCGATCAATCCGGATTCCTAATTCATGGAAAACTAATTTCACGAGCCCCTTGAACCTGCTAACAAGTCCTAACGATGGAGAAAACGATGCTCTTTAATGGTGATAAAAAAAGACTAAAATGAAAAACAAACAGGTATCACACAGGCAAGTGTTAGATGAAGCAGAGAGGCTTTTACTGATTTCTCCAGACGGATGTGCTCATGTCATCCAGTGTGTAAAATTTAGACAGAATATGACAGCCTGTGTGTTTGTGTGAGAGTGTGTGTGTGTATAGATTTTCTTCTCAAAAATGATCATTCAAAAAGAAAAAAAAAAAAAACATAAGAGGGGAAAATGATCGGGGTGCCACTCCTCTAATCATCATCAAAGTTCTGTTGTAAAAGGAAGTTTGCAGCCAAATTTTCATTCTTCTCACAAGCAAAGTAGGCCTGTATAACGAGTCCTTCTGGGAATCCAAGGGCTTTTAGCTGAGGAAGAAACACAGAGGAAACACGGAAAGGTTAGATAAGACCACAGAAAGACTCCTGGTGTCCGTTTGGGGAAAAGACTCGCGCACCTTTGATCGTTCGCCAGACAGATCCTCCATCTGTATCTCTCTCTAATTAAAGGGCCTCGGTGTAATTAGTTAAACTTGAAATTCAGACTTTACGGCTTTAAAAAGTATCTCAAGGCTCAGAACAAAGTTAGAAAAACTAGAGTTGAGGATGCAGCGATACAGACTTTCTGAGCTAGCAAGTGCAAATCAACAGCTTGTTGTGGCCAATAATTACTGTGAATAATTACTGAAGCATACTGAGAGTATTTCTATGCACTATTCCTCAAAAGCACACACATGCAAGTCAGACGGACAGGGCTTTGGTGTCATGTTTTCATGCATTACTTGCACACTCATTACAGATTTCCCAGTTACAGGGTTCCAGCGAGTACTTATAAAGTCTTCAATTCGGTTTGATCAAATTTTGATCCGTGGCTGTTTACCACAAACACAACATTTATCCATTATTTTAATTCCAAATCCAAACACTGTCACTGAAAATGCTTTTTCAGCATTGTGATTCTTTTTTTTTATGACAGCCAGTGTGTGTGCATTTTATAGATTTTCTTCACCAAAATTATCACTCAAAAAAAGAAAACCAAAAAAAACATAAGAGGGGAAAATGATCGGGGTGCCACTCCTCTAATCATCATCAAAGTTCTGTTGTAAAAGGAAGTTTGCAGCCAAATTTTCATTCTTCTCACAAGCAAAGTAGGCCTGTATAACGAGTCCTTCTGGGAATCCAAGGGCTTTTAGCTGAGGAAGAAACACAGAGGAAACACGGAAAGGTTAGATAAGACCACAGAAAGACTCCTGGTGTCCGTTTGGGGAAAGACTCGCGCACCTCTGATCGTTCGCCAGACAGATCCTCCATCTGTATCCCTCTCTAATTAAAGGGCCTCGGTG